TTGTTTTGTACTAGCACCTGGGTCAGCAATCTTGAGTCCTACCCCTAGTTCTCCCTCACCCTCCTGGTGAGGGGGGCTAACCATAACAACATTGCATTATTAATGATGCAGCACTATCAGGTGCTATAATAGAGAATGCTTCCCCAGACAGCAACCTGTATAAAGACCCTGAGGTAACTGCTGGACTGCTTTTTGACTTTAATAAACAAAGTGCTTTACAATATGACTCTCATTCAGTTGTATAAAAACTGTATAAATTATATACTGTATAATAAATAAAATAAAGTAAGTAAAAACAAGTATATTATCTGCGGCAGATGGGCGATATAGACCCCCAGGATACACACAATGTATTATGCAGAGTACCTGGTGGCAAACACTGTTCACAAGAACATTTGAATTTCAAGTACAGTGCCTTGCGAAAGTATTTGGCCCCCTTGAACTTTGCGAACTTTTGCCACATTTCAGGCTTCAAACATAAAGATATAAAACTGTAATTTTTTGTGAAGAATCAACAACAAGTGGGACACAATCATGAAGTGGAACGAAATTTATTGGATATTTCAAACTTTTTTAACAAATAAAAAACTGAATAATTGGGCGTGCAAAATTATTCAGCCCCTTTACTTTCAGTGCAGCAAACTCTCTCCAGAAGTTCAGTGAGGATCTCTGAATGATCCAATGTTGACCTAAATGACTAATGATGATAAATAGAATCCACCTGTGTGTAATCAAGTCTCCGTATAAATGCACCTGCACTGTGATAGTCTCAGAGGTCTGTTTAAAGCGCAGAGAGCATCATGAAGAACAAGGAACACACCAGGCAGGTCCGAGATACTGTTGTGGAGAAGTTTAAAGCCGGATTTGGATACAAAAAGATTTCCCAAGCTTTAAACATCCCAAGGAGCACTGTGCAAGCGATAATATTGAAATGGAAGGAGTATCAGACCACTGCAAATCTACCAAGACCTGGCCGTCCCTCTAAACTTTCAGCTCATACAAGGAGAAGACTGATCAGAGATGCAGCCAAGAGGCCCATGATCACTCTGGATGAACTGCAGAGATCTACAGCTGAGGTGGGAGACTCTGTCCATAGGACAACAATCAGTCGTATACTGCACAAATCTGGCCTTTATGGAAGAGTGGCAAGAAGAAAGCCATTTCTTAAAGATATCCATAAAAAGTGTCGTTTAAAGTTTGCCACAAGCCACCTGGGAGACACACCAAACATGTGGAAGAAGGTGCTCTGGTCAGATGAAACCAAAATCGAACTTTTTGGCAACAATGCAAAATGTTATGTTTGGCGTAAAAGCAACACAGTTCATCACCCTGAACACACCATCCCCATTGTCAAACATGGTGGTGGCAGCATCATGGTTTGGGCCTGCTTTTCTTCAGCAGGGACAGGGAAGATGGTTAAAATTGATGGGAAGATGGATGGAGCCAAATACAGGACCATTCTGGAAGGAAACCTGATGGAGTCTGCAAAAGACCTGAGACTGGGATGGAGATTTGTCTTCCAACAAGACAATGATTCAAAACATAAAGCAAAATCTACAATGGAATGGTTCACAAATAAACATATCCAGGTGTTAGAATGGCCAAGTCAAAGTCCAGACCTGAATCCAATCGAGAATCTGTGGAAAGAACTGACAACTGCTGTTCACAAACGCTCTCCATCCAACCTCACTGAGCTCGAGCTGTTTTGCAAGGAGGCATGGGCAAAAATTTCAGTCTCTCGATGTGCAAAACTGATAGAGACATACCCCAAGCGATTTACAGCTGTAATCGCAGCAAAAGGTGGCGCTACAACGTATTAACTTAAGGGGGTTGAATAATTTTGCACGCCCAATTTTTCAGTTTTTTATTTGTTAAAAAAGTTTGAAATATCCAATAAATTTCGTTCCACTTCATGATTGTGTCCCACTTGTTGTTGATTCTTCACAAAAAATTACAGTTTTATATCTTTATGTTTGAAGCCTGAAATGTGGCAAAAGGTCGCAAAGTTCAAGGGGGCCGAATACTTTCGCAAGGCACTGTACATTCGGTTTAAGACTGAATCTGACATAAATTCTGTTAAAGTTCTAAACTATCATTTATTTTTAAATCAAGTGTTTAAAGCTGCTCTTCCACATTTCCCTTGCATTGTACAGCTGATGCAGCGCTGTTTCTGTCCTGTAACTTTACACCTGGAGTCAACCACTTCCATCAGTTTTTGATACCTGATTTTTTACTGGCACCATGTCTTTCTCTACAAAATATGAAACTGTGCTTACTGTGCCCCTGCTTCTTTTTGAAGTCCTGTAGTATCATATGGGGTAATGACTAACATTTCCACAAGAGCTTTGTTTGTGAGACTAGCTGGCAGTGCTGCAGTTTGGTAGCACAGACCCATCACATTATCATCATTATTGTTTTTGTTTGTTTCTGTTTTTTTGTAATGACTGGTATGGCAGACCTGGATCACCAGAAAAATGGTGAATTCTCTCTGATAAATTCTCTTAAATCACTCAGATGTGTCATGTAAAACATATTTGTTCATATGACTTCATGTGAAACAGGCCCAATGTAAAGGGTATGGGGTGTGACCTTATACTGGAAGCTGATGGTTTCTAAAGACAACAAGCAGAAGTGCTAGACAATTGCTTTTAGGTTTACTAGCAGTGGCATCTAATTTTAGAAAAATGACCATTTCAGCACACTTGGGGAAGGCAGATGTAATTGGCAGAGACATTAGAATACTGCATATGCCTTCCTGAAAAAGACCCTGAGAGAAAAATGAAAACTAAATCATCAAATAAACCTAGAAATCATTTGTATATTAAATGTTCAACTTTTAGCAAAATAACATATATTGTCTTAATAAAAGGTGTTAAAAGGAGTTAGCAGTCCACAAAATAAGCTACAGCCTGAGCTTATCAGCAAAAATGTAACTGACCATTGTTTAAGCATTTGACTCCCTCTACTGATGCATTCTGGGGGTGCAGTCTATGTCGGCAGCACATGGGTATCACCTACACCAGGTCTGATCTAGCCTACTGAGTGGAAATGCCAGAGAGTATTTTTTATGTTTATAATTTCTTTCTTTCTATTTTACAGTGGATACTAAGTATGTTTGTTGCAATTAGAGTCAATGATGGACACTAAATTACCTCAGTGTGCATCTAATTATAGACAGCATGTAGATTTACTGTCTGTTCACCTTATGTACATATTTAAGAGTAACAATGCCTACTTTGTAAGTTTATATATTTTCCAATTTGTATATTTCTTTCTGTTCTGTGGGTCCACACGTCTCTGTATGAAACTGTCCAATTTCAACATACTGGCCTTTTCCTTGGAGGCAAACTATGATGAAGAGTTTGAGACTGTGAAAGCTCAATATAGGACACAGAGTTGACATTAGGTCATGGCAGTACTAAAGCCTATAAAAACTATAAGTCAATTATTGTCACTAGTGTTTTGCTAATTATTTCCGGCTTACAACATCTTATTAGACAATTATAAGTCACTTAAAGAGCCCATGGCACTTTTCCTTGTTTTCTGACTTATCTACAATGTTACAACGGTGAATTCTAATCTTAGACGCGACCTAAAGATCAAAAAATTAGGTGAACATATGTTCTAGTATTTCTATGCAGAAGCAACTCTGTTCATACACATCTCGTAAACTCTCGCTCACGAGACTTTATTACGTGATAGTTTAAGGATTTCCTTGAATGATCATAATCTCTAGGCAGTTGCACGTTCATGAGAGCTTGACTGACATCCACCTGTGCCTCCACCATATTAGCAAAATGTTATATTGCCTTGTTTGTTATGTATATTTTCAATAAAGCTTATTTTTTTTAAAAAAGACATCCACCTGTGTCATTGTAAAAGTGGAAATTTTTGACTGCATGCGGTTTTATGAATATATTTTCCCTCCTGCTGTTGCACTGTGACCAGAGGATGTGGAGAAAAATACAGGGCCTGAGGTTACTGCATGTCCGGGAATGTTCCTGTACAGGGACTCGCTGTTTTACCTGACCAGGTCTAACCTACCACCAGCCGCCAGTGAAGCCCCCACAGCAATGAATGATCAGCTCATCAACAATGGATTCCTCCGGAGCACAGTACCTGTTTGTTTTGACTACTTGAGGCCAGTGTGTCTGCTGCATGTGATGTGTTGCTGGTTAACCAGAGAATAAATGATTCATGATGTTATTGTCTGTGCTACGCTTCCTGTTGGAATTAATTTCACTACTTTGGGACTGTATGTGGTCGTGTAAGACACAGTGCCCACCGGTTGGATTTACCAACCTTGGAGCTACTTGAAAGGGAGTGATGTTTCCACTACTTGGTGGGACTTAATGGTAAGTTTAAAAAACACACGTTGCGTGCCTGTTAATGCCTTGTTTCTGTAACATTAGAGAGAATTGTTTTAAGGCTGGAGAAGTTACTATGTCTGCATTATGAAAGTTAAAATATGGGGTTTCTCAGTTACCCTCTTTGTTTAGAGTGTTACACATCTCTTTGGTACATATACCGTTGTTTACCTATCTATGGAGGAGACATTCATATTAATTAATGCTGTTATGGTTCGTTGTGCTGTCCACTTTGACACAACACTGCCAGCAGGAGGTGTGCACGTTCATGAACTATCCTCTTGTTTTAGGAAGAGGCTCTCTGGTTTCATTGTTCTGAAATAATTACAGACTATTTGGAGTTAAGAGGGGGGCCAAGTTAATCTAAAGGTGCCCAAGATTTAACATTAAATGGCTGGAAACAGGCTGTAAAATCAGCAGTCATGGGGACTTTAACATTATTGAGAATGGGCACATAAATGATACTGGATGAAAAGCACACATTATATCACAATTACTGAATGCTGTATATAAGCCGGGCTGTGTATCTACCTGTGAACATTTTCCATTGCTGCAACCTCAGCAAGGGCTGTCAAGCTGAAGAAAGCAGCTTGTGGCACGGTGCTCCTCTTTGCCCCCTCTGATGTAGGATTAATGTAGCACCCTTTTTCACTGCATAAATTCTGTTGGGGTAATGGCTTCTTATCCTGTTCCTGGTTCAGGTCCTTAGTTTTCTCCTCTAAAAGAGCACACAAAACCAAGTAATAATATGAGAAAAATTATGGAGTAACTAGTATTTTCCCAATGTTCCATTTAAAATACAATGTGTTTTAACCATACCGTAAGTGGAAAAAATGTAGACTCTTTAGAGAGCCAAAGACAGACAGATCTGTCTCACAATAAGTGATTCATCACTCACCCTCAGCTGGAGACACACTGCCATCAGCTGTGCGTACCAAGTGTGTGATCTTGGTCTTCCTAGCCTTCCTCTTCTGGCTACCAACCAGCATCTCCATACTAGTAGTGCCCTGGACATCTGGGTAGATTGTGGCAATGGGGGCACATGATTTGGCTTTTGAAGCTGAATCCAGCATGGAATCACTCTGCACCACTGCTGTAAAGAAAAGGGCATTGAAAAAGATTTCAGTGATATGACCTTTGAATTTAGGCAGTCATGAAACTCAGTGGCACAGATATGTTTTGGTTTCCTTTGACAAGGAGGTGTGTTCCAAAGTTTTTTAAATTAATTTGTTTACTATCATTGTGATTTAACCAGATGAAAATCATTGCTTGGACAAAGGCCTCAACACAATACGTATATCCATTTCTATATACAGTACATCTGAGTCAGTACAGTACAAGTCAAAAGTTTGAACACACCTTCTCATTCAGTGGTTTTTCTTAGATTTTATTATTTTCTACACTTTAAATTAATACACATTGGTTTAATGACCATTCTTTGTTTTCCTTGACTAAAGCAATGCCCTTCTTCTTCTTCGTCTCCCTCAGTAGTGGTTTCTTTGCAGCAATTCAATGATGACGGTCTGATTCATGTAAACTCCTCCAAACAGATGAGGCCTGCTACCTGATGGGTATTAATTGGAGATTTCTGAGGCTGCTAACTCTAATCCACCTTTCTCGGTCTTCCTTTCCAGGGGTGATCCTCATGAGAGGCAGTTTAAAAGTTTTTCTGGTAGAACCGTTTTTGCCACAATACAGATTACTACAGTAGCCGAACAGGAGTATCTAATGTACCTGTATATCAACATTATGTCAGTATGACTCAGCTGATAGTCTCAAATACATTAAGAAGGCAAGAAATTCCACATATTAACTTTTGATGAGGCACAACTGTTAACTGATGACTATCTCAGGACACTGATTAAGGTATTGTCACTAGTGTGCAAAGCTGTCATAAAGGCAAACGAGCAATTTTTAGCTTGTTTTGAGAAACAATAGAAATACAAACAAACCATGGAATGAGAAGGTTTGTCCAAGTGTTTGACAGGGACTTTTTGGAATATTACAGATTTTTTTAAATCAGCAAAGATTGCTGTTCTGAGTAGCTCAACCTTGTTACTTTAAACCACGACTTTTTGTGCTGTGAAGGTAAATTCTTTAATTCAAATTGCTCTTTAAGTAGATTTTAGAAAATAAAATAGACCTAAATTAGATTTAAAAAATTAACTGTTGTATAGAAGCGTCTGAATTAGATATTTTCATCTGATTTGTTTCAAATCTTTAACTGCAACATTTCACTGGTCTTGAGGGCAATGACAACAGGTAACTGTTAAGTACCTCTGAAAATATGTATTACCCCTGCTATAAAATGCACAAACATCACCATTCTAGTTCACCTTTGTCCACTGCATCTGGTTTCTCCTTTTTGTGTTTGTGCTTCCTAACAATCTTGTGGAATGATGTCTTTTTCTGAGATGAAGATGGCCCTGATATAGCAAGAAAAAAAAGAGCATGGAAATGCTATGTTATGAAATCCAAATGTTTTTGCTTTAACAAAGACAGAACTACACCTAAAAATGACTCTATAAACAGGTGCAGATTGGGCCATGGATGAGATGAGAGGATATTGAAGAGCAGTCATTGCGTTTAATCAGTGGAGAAATCTTTGATTTTATTCTTACCTTTGTCAACTTTAGAAACTTCCTCTGGGAGAGTGGAGCTGTCAGTCTTCTTCTTTTTTGCGACAGTGGTCCCCTTCTTATCAAATGTCATTGGACTGTACTGTGGTAGGCTGTTAAATTTCTTTTCAAACTCCTCCTCCAGTTTCCCTAGGCTGACAAGTGAAGTTCAGATTTGACAGCTGATCATCAGCCTAACCTAGCCTTCAAAACAAAGTAGACTTCAAGGCCATCTTAAAAGTTATGCATTTCCCTAAAGTGATCAGTAAAGATGAAAACAGGACTGATATTACAGAAGGGGCCAGTAATAAAGTATGTTCTGTAGTTCATCGTTCTGTGCAGCTTTTTAGCCACTGGTAGATTACAGTCAGTTATATTCTGCAGGAAAACCATTTATCGTTAACAGGCTTGTCAAATGATTCAATTTTTTACTTCCTTACTACTGATAATCAATTCATTTACATGGACAAATGTAAAGGAATCAAATGGTACTTTATAAATGCCTGTCATGCTTTTGTTCCTTTCTTCACATGAATGGACTGAAAGCTGATGTTTATAAACTGGTATGCTGCTATCAGTTTAGCAAACCTTTTTTTTTACTACTTCAGCTGCACTGATAAAACTAAGTAACAGAAAGCTCTACGCACAAAACCCCAGGAATAATTAAAATAATACATCTTTCTGTATAGTGTCTCTCCAGATGAGTTTTAGATTACTGGAGGACCAGTAAGTACACTGAGAAACAGCAGCTTAATTGGGATGTAACTGTAAATGAATGTTTGCACACACATGCGCTGCAGATAGAATTAAAATTGATAATGAAATGCATGTAAGTGAAACTGCAGTACACTTAAGCTTTAAGTAACTCAGAAAGGCCACATTTCAGAGAATAATACCAAAGTTGAAAAATACTTGAATTTCCCTTTAAAATCACTCTGTCTACCTTAGAGGAAAGAGAAACCTTTCTGAATGGGGTTTAACTATGACAGATTCAATGAGCATGACTTGTGAACTCGCAGGTGTAACTGAGCTAGATAAGTAAGAGGGTTAATGATGACAACTGACAATGTTAGATATTTCAGATTGCATATAGTAAATTTAATACAAGGTATGCAGAAGAAAGCATGAAAAAAAGAGCCAAGCTTAAACTGACCCATTCTGTCATTACTGTACAAAATGATAATGCTACAAAATGGTACAACATAGAACTAAGAGGACACATAACTCACCTCTGTGAAGAGTCATCTTTGGACTTGGACTTCTTCAGCTTCTTGGGATTATTAGGTCCCATCTGTAGCGCTGTCCAACTGTCATCACTCCAGCTTGCATCGTGATCAGAAGAACGGAAAGTAGCTCGTTTACCTGAAGTCGTACAACAATTCAGACAAACAGAAGAGATCAGTTGTTACTCTACAGCACATGTACATTATGCCTCCTACATGTGTTAATTATTTGGCTCTTGATTAAAAATGAATACCTCGGTCAATATTGGCTCTCAGCGATGTCAGCATTCCCTCAGAAACAAGGGTTTTATACAAGGCTCCTTTACAGCTCCGCTCTGATTTCCTGGAGCCACGACTCTCTGTGGTGGACTCACAGGTCACTTCACTCTGCCTCTCATTCCCCTTGTCCTCCTCTTTGAGCTTAGCAGGTGAGTGGGAGCAGGGGGGGGGAAGGGGTTCTGCCACGCTGCCCTGAAGGTCTGTGCTTCCTATGCTTGCTTCCTCTGCTTCTGACTTGGGGCTATCATCAGTCATCTCTTCCTTCATCTCCACCTCAGAAGAACTGGACTGCCCACGCTGCCCACTATCTTCATGCATGTCCTCCTCTTTTTCTTTGAGAAATGTCTTGATTTTTGACTTACTCTTCTTTTTGGGCAAACCAGAGTTTCCACTACTAGGACTGCTCTGGATCTTCGTCTTGGGCTTCTCCTCAGTGTCATTCCAGGCCCCTTTGGCCACTGCCTCTATTGTACTGAAAACACTGTCCTCATTTGATTCTGCATGGTTCCGCTTTTTGATGGACTTCTTTGTTAGGCAAGGGATGTCACTGTTATCATTTGACTTGGCCACCTCTTTTTTCTTGCTCTTCTTTTTGACACATGCATTTTGGCTGCCAAGCTGTGGGGGAATGGCATCAGTAGAGGTAGAAGTGACAGAGGAGAGTGACGGTAAGAGGGTTGATGTATGAGAGGATGGAGGACAGTTGTCACTGTCTGCTTGCTCCTCCTTGATCTCTGGCATGACTGTAGTTTGTTGGAAAGAGGCTGCAGAGGAGCTGTCCACTGGCTGAGATACAACTGTGTCCATCTTTCCAGCCTCAGATGCTAAGCACATCTTAACAAACAGCACAAATACTTCATGTAAATCAAGTGAATTGAAAAAGTATGCTCCTAATAAGATACCCATCTCTACATTTAACTTCCGTAGTTTTATTATTCTTCAACCGATCACAAATTTCTACAGGTTACATCATGTGTTCTATTCTTTCTAGTAGCCTTGTTATGTCTGAAATACGTTATAATGTACATCTTAACAGTGACAAAAACTTGTTTACAGTGAACTTGTTTTCTCTGTCACAAAGCATTACATGCTTTACTTTGAGCTATAAAAATCACTGTTAAGTACGTGACACAAAGGACAAGAACAAAAATGTAAAAAAAAGGGAACCAATGTCACAATTTGCCTTTACTAAAAGTAACGAATGTTCAGTGTTTGCTTTCGGCTAACAAATACTGGTTTCTGGTTTTAGCTCAAGTAGACTTCCACACAACAGCAACTCTGTCACAGTTTTAGTCTTTCAGTCTGTAGCATGAAGGATGACAAATGGAAAAGACTGGATTTTACAGTCCAATCTGTAAAATCAGATGCTTCATAGTTCTCACCGGTGACCAAAGAAAGCTGCTGTGTGTTACCTAAAATCACTACGTGCATAATGTCAACTGCCTTACCTCAGCAAGCTGGAAGAGAGCAGACTGTCTGCATGGTTTTCCTTCAGGTGCCGCAGACAGAGATGACTGTCAACATACAGTAACACTGTTACAATTACCTGTTGCGTTTTTTACAAAAACAAACTCATGTCTACACTCCAGGAGCAAGGTGAATATGGCTGCGTTCAACTGTGTTTTGCAATTTTGGTGGCCACAGACGCAGTGCACTTCGTGCACAGCCTGGTATTACCAAGCACACTGTGGAGGAGAGGCAGAATACATCATTAAAGGGAGGAATACATCATGAGCAGGTGGAGTCGGGGTGGCTTTATTTATTTATTTACATCTAACCGGCTCCTCTCATCCCCTTTAAAGAGTAAGGAGGAAACCTGACTGACTGATGTCATTACATGAAAATAGTATATGAGAGGAAAGAGTTTTTCCCTGTATCTTCTTCTCCTGACAGTTATGTAGTACAGTCCTAGAGTGACAGTGACAACTGTCTGACTGGTGGTGAGCAGGAGGTATTTATCCCACCGGGTGGAGTTCCAGTCCTTTGGACTCTCACATGTGGACCGACGCCTATTGTCCTGGTGTGAAATTAGGGAGGAAATGTTTGGGCACAGGTGCCACCAAGTATCTCAGATGGTGGCAGTGCCAGATTTGATGGTGCTGGAACAAGTTTCCAGCTTTTTTTAACAACAGCTTTTTCAAGGATTTTAGAAATAAACAGAAGACTGGATATTGGTCTATAATTAACCAGACCACCTGGGTCAAGAGTAGGCTTTTTGAGTAGAGGTTTAATTATTGCAACTTCAAAAGCCTGTGGAACATAACCTGTTAATAGAGAGAGGTTAATCAGATCTAATATGGATGTGTTGATTAGGGATAGTCAGCCCTGTGATAGACTGGCGACCCGTCAAGGGTGGGCCCTGCCTCTCACCCAGTGTCAGCTGGGATTGTCTCTAGTCCTGCCATGACCCTATTCAGGAATAAGCAGCATAGATAACAGCTGGATGAATGAAGAAGAAGTCATTGCTGCTGAGATCTAAGGGAATATTAAGCTCAACAGCACTGTGGCTCTTTGTCAGCCTGGCTACAGTGCTGAGAAGAAACCTGGGGTTGTTCTTATTTTGTCTATGTGGTACTGGGAGTTTTGGATGGGTGGATGGGTAGCAGCTGCAAAGAGACGCAGAGAGGAGTGCAAGACTGGGACCCTGCGTCCTGGATTCAACTCTGGGTTGTCATAATTTAAGTTGTAAAATAAACTCATCCAGATTTCTAGACATGAGAGCCACACCATCCAAAGTGGGATGGATGCCGTCTCTGCTAATCAGACCAGGTTTTTCCCAAAATGTTTTCCAACTGTCTATGAAGCCCATGTTATTTTCTGGACACCACCTAGACAGCCAGCGGTTGAATGACGACATGAAATGAAATCATACCTCTGGCAGTGGGGAAAGGGCAGACTTGACCCTGCTTTCAGTAATGTCAGGCACTCTGTTCGGTACTGTCCGTGACAAAATCTAGAAGTTGAGACAGGGTGAACAAAAACAAGTCAGTTATGCTGCTGTAAGTTATTAAATAACAAGTCTGTGTCAGTTGTGTACAGCAATCACCATTCAATCAATATTGAGGAAAAGTTGAAAAGCACACAAGCACACAATTTTATCATTTTTAAGATAAATTTTGTTGCAAGAAACCTTTGAGTCAAAATTTCCAAAACACTCATACATAACGACCTATTTCAGAATCACATAAATTACATTATTTGATTAACAAGTAGGCACCAATTTAATGTTGTAGCTGGAAACATGGGGCATGCTGTTGGTTAGTTACTGTAATGCATCATTATTTGTTGATTACATTTTGTATTAATAATCTGAACCTGCAAAACAACTAGTAACTGAAGCTGTCAAACAAATGGCTGTAGAGTACAATAGTGGCACCAGAAATGCAGTAGAGTAGCAGTATAAATTGACATAAGATGGGAATCCACAAGTGGAGGGCTAAGGTATCTACACCGGGTATTAATAAATGTTATTTCATTCTCTACACACACTAGTCAGACAACATCAGTGGTTCGCTTTTATGGGACCGCAAAACCTCAAGTAGGTCTAAAACACATATGCAGCATATAGGAGAATGAGAAATATATTCTCAGCACACACCTCTTCCTTATCCGTTGGAAATGAACTCCCTTCACTGGCTGAGTCAGGCAGACTAGGTTTAGTGCTCAAAGTTATCTAGAGAGGCAAACAATACTGAGGTTAAGCCAAAAGCATATTGTGAATGAATATAAAGGTTTTCTTCTACAGATGAAGGTAACACCAGTGATTATCCTTTGAGGCCACCTAGTGGAAAGCTGGTGTATTACACAGATGTATGTCTCCATGGGTGACTTGCAGCAGTGACCTACCTCCCTGCTTGTGAGGGCATGTTCCCCAGCTAACAGCAGCATGCTAAGGCCTCCCATCTTAGTAGGATCTGACAGTGAATGACATTAGTTATAAAAACAATAAAACATCCGTCTCTGTACTAACAGTGTTTTATTATACATACCTGCCATGGCAAAGTTTAACTGTGGCATGCTGTCAGTTTTGGGCACTTTTTTGGCAGTGGTGGAGTCCTTGGATGCATTGGAAGAGAAGGACCAAACTTTTTTGCGGGGGTTGCTGACTGGCTGAGAGGAAGGGCTTTTGACTGGTTTGCTGGTGGTGGGACACCATTTGTAACCTGGGTTTGCCTTCATAAAGGCATCCTTGTACTGAAAAACATCCAAAATTGATTTGGTTACAAGCAAAACCTCAAAACACCTGGTTTCAATCCATCAAATCTAAATCAATATATCTCTATATATCATTAAATACTGATGACTAAATAAGCAAAAAAACTAACCACCAACATTCTGACTGTGTCGGAATGCACTGCTCCCCATATACCCCATACTGGTGGCAGCAGTGTCAATTATATAGGGAGTTCAGACACTGAATCATTGTTTTAAAGCATCAATGAGAGATATAATGTTGCAGGATAGGAACATTAGAATTCAGAGTTAATTAAAATGACACTGAAAACCAAAGAGGGATTTTTTTAGTCTTTGAATTTATTTACAATTTTGCTGTATCATGATTGGTAACCTTTATCCAATTAGGACCCACCCACATCCAACCAGTGAGAAAAGCACAAACAATGCACAATCACAGAACTCTCTCTTGGAAAATAACATTTCAGAATTTGACAGAAGGCTATGTGTTCATGTAGGATCTGTCACTCACAGTACGAAGATCAGAAAATAGGTTTCTAGGGCTTTTTAAATAAGTTAAGGTGATTCTTCTCTATTATGAACCGCATATATTGGCTCTATATCCATAGGGGTTCTTGAGCTAGTGACATGCACTACCATCTTTTAACATAAAGATTTTCCAACCTGAATCGATCAAATCTTTTTCTTTATTGCAATTATAGACTAAATAATGGCAGAAATAAGTACAACATAGTAACAAAGGAAACAGGAAAGCAATGTTTCACTTGTTTTTGCAACGCTTTTCAAGCTCTACTGATGAGTGCATAAAAAACTACAAGCATGGCAGCATGGACAGCCATAAAAATCATTAATGTTCTTGTCTGAATTTATTTTTTCAGCTTTCCAGTTGTAAACTCTGCTGTCTAAATACTTTGTCCTCTCTGTGCTGACATGTCTGAGCAACTCACTCATGGACTCATCTTTTCTGTCAAGTCACAAGGTTTAGCCTGCAAACGTTTGTTAAGGCTGCTAAAAAACATCAATTCTGAATCAACAATATTAGAATGTTTCAAAAAACTACCAACCTTATCTAAACATATAAAGTAAGACATGTTAGGCTGAAAGGTTCAATTTCACACCTGTATGTTTAGTTATAGGTGCAGTTGCAAATGTCAATGCAATTTTGAATGAAGTTTTCTTTTTCTGGAATTGAACCCACAAGTTCCAGCTTCACTTTGGCTCTTCATAAAACAATACAGGAGGCTTGGCACAAACAATCACCTAGAAATAATGTTAATAAAGGTGTATGAGTCAGAGATTAGTCTCACCTCCTTGGCCATGTCAGTGTATTTCTGCTTCTCTTTGGGCTCCAGCACAGCCCACCAGTCAGCCAGGATCTTGGTAGCCCCGCGGTTGTCTAGGCGAGGGTGTTCCTGCCGCACCAGAGACCGGTGGCGTTTGCAGAACAGGAGGAAAGCATTCATGGGCCGCCGTGCTCGTTGCTCATGCGAGTCCTCCTCCATTTCTTCTGTTGTGCTTCCACACTGCATCTGCGACTCCTGCTCCTCACCACACAGCACTGGTTGCTGATAAGAAATCCATAAAAACAGTTAGATGTAACACTGTACCATGTTTTCTGTCCCACCTATGCAATAAACTTACCGATCTGTTGTTCAGTTCATGGACAGAGATGATTAAATGACCCTTCAAGACATCAAACACACTCACCTTGCCCAACTCCTCTTCATCCTCCTCTTCTTCCTCTTCAGAGAAATCCAGAGCCTTTTTGGAGAGAAGTGGGTGCCACTGCAGGCATTTGCGTTTGGGGCGCTTACCAGTGACCTCCCCTGCAACGGGTGGCTCCTTACCTCTTCCTCCACCCTTCATGGTACTACCACACCTAAAAAACATTGCATTGAGCAAACCATAAGACCATGTAAGTGAAAGCATGCATTCTAAGTTATATGTTGTCTTATGGAAGCAGAGACAACTGCTGCCAAAATAGGCAATGCAATTGTAACAGTGGCATTTGTGTAATCACATGTGTGATAATAATGGCTAGAACAATAAATGGTTTGCAAATAAAATGTGTTTTATAGTTAATTTAGCACAGACATTAGTAATCACATTCTGACCACAACTGGGCTTTTTGTTGTGACTGTTAGATACATTTCTGAAATCTAAATAGTCACTGAATACAATTCAGTGATATCCCCATTATGAAATGATGCATAAAGCAAGTGGATGTGCTAATGGTAATGTGACCATGGCTACAGCTGTTATTTCATTCATAAAAGGGCCTTTTGTCTTATTAATACATACAGTATACACAGCGCCTCCTATTTCAGAATCTGCAGTGTTTAGCCTTCCTTATGATGGTACACAAACAGCAGGTCAATGAAAAGCTTAAACTGTACTCTGGTGTGATTGTACTTATGCATTTTGTCATTTAAATGTTACTTTTGGTAGGGTTAAGTTGCATATGCCACAACTGAAGAAACAGTTCAAAATAATCAGCAAACTCTGATTATTCTTTGCCAGGAAATTCCAAAGACGATCTCTCTCTAACATCTTTGAACTCTGGCAGGTGGATTTTCTAAGGGTGTATCATAGCAGTCCACAGGCCAACAGACCAATCAAATATATATTTACAATGGCAATAAAAAATAAAATTCAATAGAAATAATGTGCAATTAATTATATTTTATGTTACATAATCTTAAAATTAAAGACCAAACATTTTAATATAGGATTCCACAAATATATATAAAAAAGACATAACAGAAATAAAGAGGATCTGGACTCCACTGTCCTCAAAAGAATGTCCTTTGTCCTTCAGGTGGAGGTGGACTGCTGACTCTGGTCCACTGGAGTTGGCCCTCCTGTGTTGGGCCATGCGTTTGTGAAGCGGCTGCTTAGTTTCACCAATGTACAAATTGTTACACTCATGACTACACTTAATTGCATACGCCACTTCTCTCTGTTTCTGGGTGTTTTGTCCTTCGGGTGGACCAGTCTCTGGCCCTGGGTGGTCCCTGGCCTGTTGGTGTTGAGCCTCTTCCTTGCTTTGGTGAAGGCCCACTTAGGGTATCCACAAGCCTTAAGGGAGTTCTGGATGTGTAGTTTCTCCTTCTTGATCCCTTCTGCAGTTGTGGGCACTTCCTCTGCCCTGTGATTTAGAGTTCTGATGACTCCCAGTTTGTGTTGAAGTGGATGGTGAGAGTCAAAAAGCAGGTATTGGTCCGTGTATGTAGGTTTCCAATATACTTCTACCTTCAGGCTTCTGTCCCCTCCCAAGTGGACTGCACAGTCCAAAAAGGCCAGACAGTCATCTCTGGCATCCTCACGAGTTTACTTGATGTTGATGTCCACAAAGTTGATATGCTTGGTGAAAGCGTCTACCTCCTGGGTCCTGATTTTAACCCATGTGTCATCCACGTAGCAGAACCGGTGGCTGGGAGCGGTACCAGTGAAGGAAGACAGGGGCTTTGTCCTCAAATTCTTCCATGTACAGGTTGGCAACTATTGGAGTCACAGGGGAGCCCATAGCACAGCCGTGTTGCTGCCTATAGAAGTGCCCCCTAAACTGGAAGTAGTTAAGTGTTTAAACAGAGTTCCAGAAGGGTACAAACTTGGTCTGGGGTGACTGACCAACAGCTGTGACAAATCAAGGGTAGATGAGTGGTCTGGGGGTGCTGGCCATCATGGCGCTGGTGCTAGGCAATAGCGTGCTATCTGGCCCTGCAATCCACAATGGTGGCACCCCTCTTGGTATCATTCAGCTGCTCTCCCACTTCCTCATGTTAGCAGTGGCGGCATGGCAGAGACCTGGCAGGCTGCCTCCTCGTCACCAGTCTCTGGCAGGCTGCACCGCACAGTGGTCATGACCCAGAGCATGGAGCTCTGCGTCGCTGCCCAGGCAGCGGTCTCCCACCCCAGCGTGAACTCCAGGACTTCACCCAAAGTTCTGGGGTAAGCCAGCTACACATGCAGTCTAAGTCTGGCAGGTGGCATGAATGGGCACACTGGCCCAGGCTCTCAACATCCTAAGCCAAAATGCAGAGGGATTCTCCGGGTATGTGGGCCTGGTGTTTATACTCACTGCACAGGGCATCTTGCATGTCAAGTTTGCCAAAGCGTCTCTGCAGAGCACTAACCTGGGCCCAATAGTCGCTCAACAGCAACTGCAGGCAAGACTGGGCATCCTCCATCAGCGACAAAGTCAGCTGTAGTGCACTGGCTTCCTCTGACCAGTGGGCAGCAGCAGCTACCAGTATGGACTTGGCGAGATACGCCTCCCAGCTGCCCTTGCCAGAAACCTGTGGTGTTTTTACCCCGGGATTGGGGAGAAGACGGAAAACTGCAAAGTAGCGTTCCCAACATAGCCTTCTGGTCGTGGTTGGTCCTGTTGTCCCTAGCTCAGACTGTACTGTTTGCGGTTCTGGAACAGCCGGCTGGTCGGCTGGTGCTGGTTTTGAGTCCCTCCAAGGCCGGGGTGGTGATGACTTGGCACAGTTACTCCAGTTTGTCTGTTGGGGAACACTGGCTCCATCAGTGGTCTCATTTTGGCAGGCTCCTGTTGAGAGCGGGGTGGCAGTCAATTACCCAGCGGCTGCAGGGATATCTGCCTCAGATGGCACTGCCTTTTGCTGCAGCTATTCCCCATCACACTTCTGACACCAATGTAACATAGGCAAGCTTGAGGAAGGTGCTAGAGACAGAAGTTGCCTTTTCTGTACTCAAAGGAGCAGCTATTTTATTATCACACACACAGAGCAATCAAACCCATGAACACACCAAACAATCCACACCAGACCTCAAGTAAATACATCCTGCCCAGAGGGGTGTTATGGGGGATCCTGCCAGGTGCTTTACCCTAAGGCAATCTGGAGGACCCCACGAGTGTCTCTTCACCCATAATGCTACAGTATGAAGTGCCGATTATGTTGGGGTCAAACTAAAACGTTTCTAGCAAAACACAAATATGTAAGAAGAACGCTCATGTAAATTCGAGATGTGCTTTGCTGCAAGTTAGTTTCCCCAGAGTTAAGACAAACATCCATTACATACATATTTATACTTACTTGCACTAACATTTTAAGTGAAATGTTTTAAAATGCTTGTGACTGAAACATAATCTTATTTTATAAATTCAAATTACTGCTTCAATTTGTATGCCTTCACCAACCAATCAAATTCACAGGAATAGGACAGACATGAGGTCACCCTGACATTGACGTTTGACCACTAAAACCTAATAAGTTCATCCCTGGGACCAAGTGAACACTTCTGCCAAATTTGATGAAATTCCCTCATGGTGTTCCTGAGATACTGTATCTCATTCACAAGAATGGACCGTACAGACATATAGACATACATACGGATGGACAGATGGATCACCCAAAAACATCATGTTCTAGCTACAGGTCTCGCCAGTGTGGTTGCATAAAAATAAGCGACTGCATTACCGCTGCAACAACTGACTGAATAAATTAGTCGATCAACAATAACTGAACTGTTAACTTATTGTATTTCACTAGTTGATCAACTGTTTAGGTCATTTGTTTTTTTAAGTAAAAAATACCAAATATTGGCTCACTATCTTCTCAAATGTGAAGATTTAATTATTTTCTTTGTCATGTGTGAGTGTATATTGGATATATTTGGGTTTGGGACTGGTTATTGAGTAAAACAAGATATGTGAATACATCTTCTTGGGCTTTTTTCACAATTTGTGATGTTTTATAGACCAAATTATTATCAAAAATTGTTAATTGTAGCCCTATATGAAAGACATTCAGTAGGTAAGATGGGGAGAACAGAGAAATTTAAAATTACAAACATAAAATTGCATTTTTTAAACAAAAATGTCTGTTTACACTGACACGTCAAAAATGTATGTTATGAAAACTGAGGTCCTTCCTTGATCTAAACATAGTCAGAATATGTAGCAAAATTGTGACCTTTACTGTAAATAGATCCACAACTGAGCAGCAAAGAGTGAAAATGAGTTTTCAGAGATAAATAATCACCATTCTGTGTCATCACTAACAAGTAGTGCGCCACTTTAATTTTCACATCTAATATAGAGGCTTTATTACACTGTAGACTGTTAGCAAAAGAATTGTACTTGGCATGGCCATTGCAATTTTGTTGCCTTGATAAAAGCTTTAAGGGCACTATTTGATGAACACATTTCACAATGACAATTCCGGTTCTCCAAAAAATATGGTACAGGCTGAATGTAGTGCAATAGTAGAAAGCAACAACTGATGCAGCCCACAATTCTTTTCCTTTATTTTTTATTCAAAAAATCATTAGTTCCTTCCGTTTGAATCACTTGATTTTAAAGATTACACAACTTCTATTACATGCAGATCCCAGTTGTGAAAAAATGCTAGAGCACCAATAAGAGGAGAGAGATCATTGTACAACTAACTAATTGAATCTTTCTGTTGACTGGTGGACAAGCAGCTCTTTTCAGTTACAGATCACTACAAAGGCTGCACAAGATCATTAATGGACTCTGTGCTCTTTACAGCACTCATTTGTAAGTGTTCAGTGAAAAAAGATAACAGGAACAAAGTCACAGCAGACAGGGGTCAGTTAGCTGGAGACCTCAAGACCTGCTGCTGGCAAACAGTTCAATAGTTGCTGTATGTAAAGTGATTTATAAGTAAAATATTCCTCCGTTCTATCGTGTTACTACATTCCAGAGGAAACCAGTAGATAAGGAATAAGGAAAATTGAAAACTGAATGAATATTATGGGGATGCTACAATACAATAGCCAGATTCACTGCAGTGTATCTTTGACCCTTGCACTCTTAAGCGTCTTGTGCTGGAGTAAACCTTATTATACAGTTATACTGATTATAAGTCATTCAGCATAACATTATCAAATTGTAAAGTCAAGAAAAGAAAAATTGCACCTGGCTCTTTCTCAACTTGATGTACTGGATTCAAGTTTAGGTCTGTCTAACAAGAGCAACAGAAGGTTGTATTACAAATGTGCACCTATCACAGCTATGTCCTTCTATTATAAGATGCAGTATATTTTGATGGTCTCCAGGCATATAAATCAGCTGAATTACTGACAATTAATGAGAAGAACATCACTTCACTGCTGTATGCTTCTCAACATGTTTGCATGTGCTCTGAATGTCTACTAAACATGACACAAATGGAATTTACCAATCACTGCATGAACAATTTAATGACCATATTATTCATCCATGTTTGTATTTATGAGTGTGGAAAACGGGATACTTACTGAAGGAAAAACTATGGAAATGCTGAATGAGTGATGAAGATGAAATCTGCCAGTCTTTGTCATGCAATGACGATGACCTATAAAATACAAGACACTGCTCTCAGTCATGCGTTATACTGTCATCTCTGCAACAATATTCCTGCAACATGATCTCGGGTGCAGAACAACTTTAATAAGGCATTAGTACGTGAAACTGCACAGAACAAGCCCTCAGCTTCAGTTTACAGTGGGACATTTTGTATGATCTGATTGGTGATCATGTCAATCTTGCCGTCGATCCGCTCTTGTGGACAAACCAAAACACATAGGCCAGACCCCTGCGACCACTGGATGCATTTTCTACATCATACAGTCTACACCGAGTAGGGACACTTCCAGTTCCATCTGCTACGCAGAGGGTTAGTTGTGTTCTCAGGTAAAACTGCTGATGCCCGATCAGACTGTCTGTGCTGGGAGTCAAGTCTTGAGCTACTGTATCCATAATAGCACACACCCACATAATAGCACAACATTTGTCAAACATTATAAACGATCCGTTTGCCCATCTATCGCGCTCCTACCTTTAAGCACACATTTTGATCTCCGTGTAAAATGTCGATCTGAGCTCTGTCAAGCCGAATGAGAGTCCATCTTGCTTTGGTTTAGAGGAGAAACCCAAGTACAGTACAGTAGTGGGGATATATCACTCCTGTCAAACTCTCCGTGACAATGTTGTCGAAATGTCTCCCTCTCCGAGGAAAACAACATCCACAATGATAAATTAAACTGGGGGTTTTCTATCCAGGCACATGCATCTGTGGGCAACGTTTTGCTGAGCAGTAGCTCCATTTCCTAGCAGTGTTACTAGGAATAAAAGTAGCTAGTTAGCTTGCTAGCTCTACAGCCTGCTAACTGGACGTGTCACGGTTTTAACATGCAATCGTTTCCAAAGAGTCCAAGCATCGTGAGCACCTGCTAACAAAAGCCACCGACTAAAATGTGATCGAAATACTTAATTGTGTGGTTGCATATGTAGTTGCTTTGACATTTATTTTACACGGCGACTTCAAGCAGGAGTGAAGAAATATGTAAGCAACATAGTGACCGCGACAAGAAGGTATGGTTTATTACACTGGTTATCAATGAAATGTCGATGGGAAACAAACAAATTCAAAGGGAAGCCAGCAGGCGGACATCACGTCCAAAGCAGCGATAATAACAGTTTTTCAGAGTGACTGACTGAGAGGTTGAGAAAGCAGAACGGACTTGAACGGAAAATCAATAAAACCACAGGTTCTCTGTCATGAACGTCTCCCACATGTCTGAACATACCTCTAAAATCCTGCTCATGTGCCGGGGGGTTCCCTCATAATTGGTGCCGTCTACCTTTTTAACTTATTGACACATCGTAACAGTTCAGCACTAGCCGTACTACACGCAGCTACGTCAAGTCCACTCAAATACGCCATATGGAAACCGGAAGCACAGGGACTTGTCTCCAAAATAAAACATTTTGCACCTAAAGCAACGAAGCTCTAAAACTAATGCCAGTAGGCCATTCCTAAAAACCGCCTGCCTCAAATGGATTCTGCCGAGACGGTGTTAAGTAACTTAGGTAATGGTTATTGTGGTAGAGTCAGTCAACAGACAGATGCAAAATGAGTAACAGTAGACACAAAACTGCTACAAAAAGATGCAACACCAGCCCAAAGCAACCTCTTACATAAAAATAAGTAGGCAAAAATATAAACAAAAATAATCACAAAGACCTGCAAATCAACTAAAAAGATAGACAGATAGATAGAGTACTTTATTATTCCCCATAAGGAAATGTTATTGTTACAGCAGCCACTATACAACTGAACAGGAACACCAGGAAAAACTAAATAACTAAAGAGAAATTAAAAACTGTAAAAAAAAAAATTTTAAAAAAAGAGTTGCAAAGCTAACTGGTCATAACTAAATGAGACACAAAACAGCCACAAAGATGCAAATCAGCAAATTTTGCGGGGGCAACTAAAAGAGGCACAAAACTCTTTCAGTCTGTGGAGCTTCATTGTAGGAGGGTGGGAAGCCTCTCTTACATGTCTGTGCCCAGGGGGCCCAGTGTTTCATAACCCATCCATGGTTGAGACAATATGGTAACCCAGGGAAACAATGGCCTTTTATTACCAACCAGTGTTGTTTAATGCTGATAGGATTGTTATTAAAGATTTTTTGGAATACAGTTTGTGTCTCAATAAAAAAAAAAACCCCCCCCCAGCCAATAAGTTAAATGTATCTGAATGCAGCATTTGTATTATTTTCCATACAAATTACTATTTTTAAGTATGCTTGGTGCTGTAATTACTAAGGCATAGCAAATGTATCAGTACAGAACAACAAAGGGCATTAAGAGCAGAAACACACGATACTACAGTATAAAAATAATAATATGTACAGTGTTTAACAGTAAAATGGAATACACAAGAAAAACAACCTAAAACCAAATAAGATATTTAAATTCAATTACATGTTTATTATTGAGGGCATAATTAAAGGTGGAGTTGTAGTGGACTACATTATATTTAGAGGTGTCTCTAAATTTTTTCCTCCCCGGCTACATACACGAGAGGGTCAGAATATAAGGAACACCTCTGAATATGAATATAATGTGGTCCATTGCTACATCACCTTTAACTATGACCTCAATAATAATAATAGTGTTACATTGAATTTCATACAATTGTACCGGTGTGCCTAATAAACTTGCTAGTGAATGTATATTCTATAGTCAAACTACACAGAGGATTATTTATATAATAGTTTCATTATTTGATCAGTCACTAGTGACCAGCACTACAAAGCTGAAAAAATAGCACTGCTACCTGGCCTGCCTTGGTTGATAGTTTAGACCAAATTCATAACATTTGTGGTAAATTTGCAATTACCACGAGCGAAATGAGACAGCAGTAAGTCTTGGGCTCTTGGGGCCCATTGACAGTGTAATTTTGCCCTGTTGTTAGTCCAACTTTAGGCACAATGTTTTTGCGCACACTGTACATTATTGTTCTGCCAGTAAAACATAGGCTATATAAATAGGAAATATATTTAATATTTTTAACACTGGCGAAAGTAGTTCCATTAAATACGTAAGTATCTGCGCCCAGAATCATTAGAGCCGACTTTTATTTTCATAATTTAAACCGGAAATCGGTTTAGTTATTGTGTAATTTGACAGTGGTACAGAAACCCAGCACTTACTAGATGATGAATGTTACTGTTGGCGAAGGCGACATACTGAACGATTTCAACCCCAAAAAATAATACAATAGTGCGTTAATTCTGGCAGAAACACAGACTTGTTCAGTCATATAACATAACTGAAATCACTTTCGTTTTCCTCAAGGTGGGAGAAAATTCTCATCTCAGCTATATCCCTCCCCTCCCCCGGTTTGCAAAGTGCTCATACCCAGACTGGCCTGTACTTGCTAACACCATCCCTGACTTAACTTTATCTCTTAGCACTGTCCGACTGGCAAAGGTCGGCGAAAAGGTACGTGTAACATCAGAAACCCCCGATAACGACTTATTAAACGCTGGTTACAATCTATCTCAGTTGAGTGACTACTTGTTATAAGCTTCCTGGGTGTTTGCGCGTGATAACTGATAAAAATTGTTACAGAAATGTATAGCTGTAGTTACCTGTCATTACATACCTGTGAGCAGCAGAGTAGTAAACGCGTAACTAATTGTTTAAATCTTCTTTTAAAGCTTTAGCCGTATAATTATCAACAGTCTTGCAGCATAGCTTACTGTACACATTGAAGATATCCACCCCGCCATGTAACGCTCTGTGTGAGTGGATGCTGCTTTTGATGGACAGGCGGGTTACACCAATGAAACGTGAGGTTAAATTTTAGTGTTTCGAGATTACTGTAACGTCCTCAAATTTAATGTTCAGGATATGTGTGGTAAGTTTAGGCCTAAATTATACAAAATAATAGTAATATATGCGTGTGTCTGTAGTATTCATTTGTGGAGATACAGTATTGGCCTTGTGATATTTTAAGATGTAGTCTATTTGTTTAAATAGGCTTATAAAGAATGCTATAACCAGTCCAATCTTCTGAGTAACCTACTAGCCTACAGGTTTTCTTAAGAAGAAAAAATAAAAAGTAAAGGGCACATGTTTACTGTCATAGGTTTGATACACTTTATCTCTGAGCAGTATGCTTGTTGACTATTCAGTTAAGGAGAAAGCAGTCATCACCTTAGGCTGAGAAAAGACTAGATGGTTATAATCAGATGATAGCCTATATTCGCCTATATATTGACATATGCCTTGGCTGCATATGCCATAGAAATGAAATGTAATACAGCATCTACACACTGTTGTCTGCCAGTGTTGTAAATCCTAAAATATGGCATGATTGCAAAGTGTGCCAGATAAAATAAACATTACTAACACTGTGTAACATCGACTAATTACTATCATATGTTTTATTTATAAAGCATTTTTAAAGTTACAGTTTGATTTATTTTTTATACGAATCAAGTTAAAACAATTCAGCACACTAAGAGTAAATTAGATCAGGTTGCCAAAATACAAAGAGTAACATGATAAAATCCCAAACAGCAAAAGAATGTAAAATGCAATTGTTTTGTAAATTGCGGCATAAACAAGTAAAACATATTTGAAGAGGGAAACCAAACAGGTAGCAATGATACTGTTCTGCAGCCTCTGATCCTCAGGTAGGGAGATCCAGAGCTATGGTAAACAGTCTTATACTTGGACAGTTTTTTTCTACGCATTGCAGCACACTCAAAGCGCTTTCACACAATTAGGCCATTCACACTCACACATCGGTATCATCATCGGGAGCATCTGAGGGTTCAGTGTCTTGCTCAAGGGCACTTCAACATGTGGACTGGACAAGCTGGGAATCAAACCGTTAATCTTCCAGTTAGGGAACAACTCGCTCTACTCCCTGAGCCACAGCTGCCCCCCAAAGGGCGTTGTCTGCAAAAATCCAACCACCTTTAGTTTTGGGTTGGGTCTCAAGAACAACTGGAAGGGCCCTGCCCGAGGATATGAAGCTCTGCTCTGGCTAATAGAGGCAGCATTGCAGAAATATAACCAGGAGTCAGCTCATGAAATGCTTCACACATGATCAGTGAAATTCTAAAATCTTAGTTTCTGAGATAATATATATTCTGCAAACATTCTTTTTTCAAAGATGTAGCAACATTTATACTAATCTACTGTATATTCTAATTGCACATTGTCAGCTGTACAGATTTGCTGTGTGTTGCCTGGATTCAAACAAAGCAAAATCAGAGAAAGACACACAGTAAAGTTACTTTGTCAGTCTTCGTACAATAATGATATAGAGAGGTTGGGTTAATGACCCAGTGGGCAAGTTGACCCACCCCTTGTATATAGGCAACTGTGCACATGTTTTGTCATGTGACCATAAATTCAGGAAGCACCCATATTTTTTATTCCACTGTAATGGAGAGAAGCATATGGTAGAAGTGGCAAGTATTGTTTTACACAAAAACAGCTTTTTCCTTGTAAAAGGACATTTTCAACATGGCAGGTATAATACTGCAGGTATGAAAAAGCAAATTTATCCTGATCTAAAAATATGTATTGTCAATGTTGGTGATTTGCTAATGTATAAAATCATGTGAATCACTTAGCTAAAGATTAGCCTGAATTGGTAAGCTAGGTCTTTTTTCTTTTTACAAAATGGTGCGGTTCGGTGAGGCCATGGAGAAGGACTATCGGTTGGCCTCAAAGAGATTCTGGCAAACCGTCCGGCGCCTCAGGAGGGGGAAGCAGTGCCCTGCCAAAACTGTTTACAGTGGAGGTGGGCAGCTGTTGACCTCAACTGGGCACATTGTTGGACGGTGGAAGGAATACTTCGAGGATCTCCTCAATCCCGGTGCCATGTCTTCTGATGAGGAAGCAGAGGCTGAGGGCTCAGAGGTGGACTCGTCCATCACCCAAGCTGAAGTCACTGAGGTAGT